GCGATGGTGGACCACTTTTTTGGCCCAAATTTGTTCACCAACTCAATTATTACTTCATCTTCCTGTTTAAAAATTACAGAAGTTACGAACAAATTATTAATATAAAAAGAGTTACGAAGCTCCCCTAATAAAAAGTTTGGCCATAGTTATATGAATTTATGCAAAATGGAAAAGATGACAATAATCACCTCTTTTGACCATGGTCCTTTAATAAGTTCTGGATTTAACACCTTCTGCCACCTGTGCAGGCATTGTACATCAGTTCGGTCCTTGAAACACTCCGCTGCAGGAATGTCAATTTCACGTTGAGAAGTTATTAAGCATGACGAAAGTGAAACCAAAAGCAGACTCAACGGAGAAACACCCAGATAATTTGGTCATTGGCACCATTTGAAAGAGAAGGTGTACTTTTTCTTGGCCAAGAAAGAGAACTCAATACTCTATCAGCAAAATTGCAAAGCAATATGTCAACCTTTTAATTAAATCTAGTACTTTCGGAAATCGTTCATTGAGAACTCAATACTCTATTAGCAAAAGCAGTGTTTTACAGAAAGGTAAAAAAATAAAAATAAAAATAAAAATCAAAGTCTTGGGGCGTAAGTTACGAATATCTTTTAGAAATAGGGAGAAGATGAAAAAGGGAAGAGTTGAAGCATTATAAAATCTATCACTGATTGCAAGAGGCCCAGATAGAGAAAAATGTTAGAACTTGAAAATTATACCTATCTTTTTCCAGTTTTTTCCTTTGAAACGCTGAACAGCTCTCCGCAGAATCTCATCCTGGAGTGGATGCAAATATAAGACAAATTTCATTTAAATTTTTAATATTGACAATTTGACATAGAAAATAACCATCATAATCAAATGATGAAAATGGAGAAACACAGTCAGTGACATTAAAAGATGATGCAGCAAAGTTATAAAAATGGTAAAACAACTAATTTGGGAGTTACACAGTTTCTGAGCTAGTTATGTTCAGAGTTACAAACAAGAAAAAAAAAAAACTTATAAATAATGTATAAAAATAGAGATCAAAATGAAAAGTAGAAGAAGAAGAAGAAAATAGAAAGAAAACCTCTTCAGCTGTCCATTGTCCCTTCGTGGAACGTCTTGTCGGGCCAGTAGTCCTCCTACAAAAGATTGCAAAATCCTCAATGCTAAGAAGCCAGCGATGGTTAATATCTATTCAAAGCCCATGATAGAAAAGACCTGCAAGCTTCTGTTTGGTATAGTTCCAGTAGATTTAAGGAAAGCTATTTCTCTAAAGTTATCAGAAACATTCCATCAAGTATGGAAAGCAAATAAATAAATAAAACAACATGAAGCAAAAAGGATTAATGGTCTAGGGTGCGGAAAACCAAAGGAAGGATGCAGTAAGCCAAAGAAATCTTAACCTAAAAAGGTTGTAATAGACAGATCAAACAAACATAAAATAACTATGAGATGAAAAGATAGCTTCTGAATGCTTTTAAAAATTTACCCATGAAGATTTCGCGTTCTCTGAGCACCATCACTGATGCTAAGCCCATTCGAAGGAACAGAGATTATCCTGTCACCTTCCATAGTTTCCTAGCAGAGAAACCAGAATATGTTCTCCAGAATATGTTCTCCAAACCATTATAAACCAACCTATGAGGAGGGAGCTTCCTTCTCGCAAGAATTCACAATAGTCTAACATAAAAACAAAGAAACCAGAATCAGAAATTTTAATTGTGCGCATAGAATTACTAAGATAAGCAATCACCCTGACACCATACACAACCAGAAAAAGGAAGAGTTCACATGTTTGAAGGAATAAATTAGAAGAATGGAGGAAGTCCAAACTAGATGCTAAGACTTTATCAATTCAGTATTCTTCTGCTTTCAGGAAGAAAGAAAGAAAGAAAAAAAAAAGGCAGTGATTATCATCACAACTAATTGTAGAAGAAAAATTCAAATTGTAAACTTTTAAGCCTCATAAACCAAATTCTTAAGAAAGTGCTACAAGAGACCAAAATACACTAGGAGCTTAAGCTCGGAAATTCCAGTATAAGAGAAAAGATAGAGTTAGGTTACGGAATTCAGAGCAAACCAGAGGGAAAAACTAACAGGAATTAAATTTCTAGAATTCAAACCGTAGACAGTGATCAGACCACCAAATTCATTAAAAATTTCAGAAACTGATAGCAGCAAGCAAGATCGATGATGAAAAACTTGAAATTCATGGGATAAAAATTAGAACCCTAAGACACTCACCGAACTGAGCTCGGAAAACTGAAAAACTGAGAATCGGATGAGGGAGGAGATGGATAGAGCGCGCATTTGCAGATCGGAGTGAAGTAGGAAGTCAGAGGAAGCACAGAGAGAGAGAGAGAGGGATCTGCAAATGCAGTGGAGGAGAGAAGAGAGAAATGAAACGGCTATGAAAATGAGAGAGCTAATTTCAAACATAAAAGGGGCGGATTCGTGAGTTTCAAAACCCTATGGTTAAAGATGGGGAGTGTGATCGGTCTCTGATTTTTCCACGTGTCGGATTTGGTGGTGCACCTGGGGTCTCTTTTTTCAAATCTCCAACGGCCATATTTAATTTCTTTTAAAACCTTAAATATAATATTTTTCTTTTGTTCTCTTTTCTCCTTTTTTTTGCACTATATTTTTTGAAAAGAAGAAAATTAGTACATCTGGGTATTTAAAATATTAATATGTTTGGTTATAATTATTAAATATTTAAAATATAGTGTAATTTTTAATTTTATTAAATTTATTATATATTTTTAATATAAATTCATTATATAATTATTGTTTAACGATTTATCATTTTAAATATCACGGCGTATTGAGTTTTTTTTTTTTCTTTTTTTTTTCTCTTGCTTTTTTTTATGGAACATTTTTTCTCCATTGCTTTTTTTTATTTTGTACATTATATGCTTAATTGCTTAATATAACTAAAATTTATACCCTTAATTTTTAATTTCAAATAAAAACTTTCAAATTAGTGATATTGTACTTTTTTCCCCTTGCAAATAATTTATTTATTAGCCGTATCTTTGAAGTAAATGAATGGGAGAGCTGAAATCAAAGTAGACATATATTGTAAATTATAAATTTATAATATCATATAATATTATAATGATTATAATAATTATATTATTTTTTATATGGAATTGTGATTAAATACCCAACGAAAGAAATGTAGAACAAGGATAGAACTGAAAATTGGATAAAGGGGTGTTGAAAAATCGTGGGAAATGAGTTTTGGTAAAAAGATCTACAGCCTGCTGGGTACTGGCTGCTCATCAGCAGAACCAGAACTAATGAAACAATGTCTTGTCAGATCCAGTTTTTCCAAAATGAACTTTGACTTCTTTAAAAACTGATTTCAACCCAAGCGGCAGTTCATCCTGTTCAAGAACCCATTGAAGCCTAGTTCTCTCTTCCCCAAAATCCCATTGCCCTATATCAAATATGAATATGGTAGCAAAAATTTTAACATATGGCTACCAAGGCCAAGGGGATGAAAAAGCACTTGAAACATCTCATCCCAACAAAATCCTCATGGTATAACCAAAAGAAGAAAAAAACTCGAGTACAATAAAATCCTAAAACTACTGGAAGCAGATGATATATATCTTGCAGTCCTTGAAATTTCACAGATCACTCTCATATCTCATGCTTCTCATGCTGCTGCAACTTTTTGAGCTTTGTTTGGACGACCTCTAGGAGAATCATTCTCTCTACCACGGGCATGTTTACCACCTCTATGGTATCTTCCTCCCCTGGGAAACAAAAATGGAAAAAACAAAAAAAGGGGTTTGTTAAGGGATAGCAAGTAGGAGGTGATTAGCAAACAGAGAGT